CCCTACAGACTAGACGTCCCTCTGACAGGAAAGGGCCGGACTCGCCTTACAAAAAGGGAGTTCGCCTCCTTCCCGCTGAAGGGCTCGCCCGCGGAGACAGTAATCGTCTTCTAAGGGCAAACATGGCAAACTTTGCCCCAAATCGGGAAGGCTACCAAGCTTAACAAGCAACGCTCATCTCCCCAAATCCGGCGCCTAAGACCTACAAGAGATCATCCAGCAAACCCATCAACGTACCTGGGCGCGACTCCATAGCACCGGCAGGCATGCCGGCAGAGAGACGGTCGGAGTAACGTCCGGGGCCTGCACCCCTCACTTTACACCTCTTGGATTTCGGAGCCATTGTGAGAGGAAGCGGGAATTCTTTCCTTGGATGTTCCCTTTCAAGATTTGAAAGCACGGTAACTCCCAATGGAGGAAAACGACTGCTTTAGAAGGGCGGAGTTGTCCACGTGGCCACGACTGCCCTCGAAAGACGAAAACCCTAACGGACAGGAAACTGGGCCACGATCAAATTCGACGGCCCAGATCACCCTCAGTACATCGAAGGATCCGAGATTGGCGGTTGAATCCGACGGTTGAGTCCGAGAACCACGGCCACGATACGTCGCAGGGCGAAACGCACGAAGATCGTGCTGTCTAGTCACGATCGCCACGATCCAATGTCTTAGCTGGGAAGCACGAGGCTCTATCAGCAGACACGTGGCTCATCTCCCGTCAGATCCGGTTCCGCCTACAAAAGGAAGGGTTTCGCCTGCAAATACTGGGCATAACCCCACGAGTCGCGCGAAAATTGACTCCCAAAAACTAATTTCGCCTTGACGATGCATTCGCCCTCAAAGGTAAAATTACGAACAAAGCCAAAAGAATGACCTTGCTTAAACGGTTGAAACCCACGCCCCAGATGGCTAAGGGTTAGAGCAGAAATCTTAGCATTAAGCCTAAGAGAAACTGTTCGACAACTCATCATACTGAGGAGAATAGTATGGCTAGCCCGATTCAAACGGTAATCGGTAAAGGCACATCAAACCCGTTGATAGCTGAGGATTTGCTAAAAATCCTAAGAGAAATCGAAGGCACTTGCTTCGTCAACAATTTCTTCATTCAAAGTATTCCAGACCACACGCAAGCCAGTTTAGGTCTGAAAACTTTGAAGGGGGTCTTGTAGACGGTAAAAAAATACCTCTATGGGTCTACAGGAAACTTGCCTACGAGAAGAGCTCGCACGCCCAGTTCTCTGGCACGGACCTAAACCGCGTAGACGTCGACTGTACTCAAGTCCAGGTTCGCCTAACGGTCGACTCGCCAGCATGAGTCAGGAGCGATCAGGATGGCGGAAATTTGCTCTTCGCTCAACTCGCCTGCCCGAGTTCGGAGTCGAATCCGCCAGCAAGCCCCAAAACCGTCAGTACAGCTGGGTATCCACTACCCCACGTGCTGAGATGGACCTTCCCATCTCTCTCGACCCGAAGGGAGAGAGAGCACAGTACCCCAGGACCGTCAAACGGCCGCCCACAGTGCACACAGCGCGAAGGACTGGACAGGCGTCGAGTCAACCTGAGCATTCATAAATGCGACTCACCTCGGCTGTCTGAGCCAAGAGCTGGATCCGCCGGCACTCGGCAAGCTGGCTAGACCCACTCGAGTACTATACACCTACTTCACCGCCTCTCCTGACCGGAAAGGAGAAAGCGTCGTGCTCAAAGCACGCCGGGCGGTCACGCACAGTACAAGTGATCGGACAGACACTTCATCGATCTGCGAACTCATAAATGCGGTTCATTAATGCTGGTCAAATCCACTCGGATAGCAGTCGTTTGTTGCCTCACATACAAGAATGGGCCTTCCCATCGTAGGTGACAGGACATAGAGCACAATCCCTGGAATGACCGTTCATGGTATCGAGGAACGGCGAGACGTCTCTGAAGAGGATGTGGTCACATCCCACAATTCAAGGAGAAGTCAAGCTGTCCTTCTTTCATTTAAAAACCCCTTCCAGCACGATGGAAGAGAGGTCGCAAAACTTGGAGAAAAAAAAAGAGTTGAGACCAAGCTGTTAGCAAATCCTTGCATTACAGCACTGCTGCCTAGTTCCGAGTTCCGATCGCCGACGAACTAAGCAGACCCGAACTCCATTGCCCCGAGCTTCTACTGCGAACTGAAGCTCTCCAGCAACCTCATTCAAACGGTCCAAGGGAAGCAGACTCGACCCGAGCATCGAGCGAAGCGTCCTATAGCCACCTAAAGTCCCCACACAAAACAAAGAGGGCCTTCCCTCTGCTTCTGTTGTAAACATTTGATTTGTTAGTTTGTAATAAGCTTTCTTATAAATACAAACGAAACTCCTTTCTTCGGAAGAATCAAATTTTCACCCTACATGGCGGACAAGTCCTCAAGGCAAAATACAGCTTGGACAAGCCCGCACAAGCCCTCAAAAGGACGAGCTCGTACTGAGGATCCCTAAGTTGGTCCAATGCTTCCATTAACTGAGTCGCCTTAGCCACCCTTTTGGCTGCTAACCCACCAACAAACTCTTCCTTCATGCTAACCGCTCCACCTAAAAGCCTCACCCCATCGCGAGGCCGACTGATATCCAAGGGAAAAAGCCCCTCTAGCAAACTCCTAGGATCCTGGGAGGGCCAGAATAATTCAGTTTTGGTGACATTGAGGTCCAACCCGAGCCTTGGGCCTTCAGTCTCGATCACCTTATATGCCTTAGCAATCTCCAAAGTATCCCCGACCAATGACCCATCGTCCAAGTACCAAGCTTGAAGAGCCAGCTTGCACTCTTCCTGCACTCGTAGAATCAACGGGTGAAGCGTGAGGGCGAACAACAGAGGCCCTAATGGATCCCCCTGTTGAATCCCCCGAGCAGACCAGATAAAATCCGCCCCCAAGTACAGTCTAGCGGGCTGCACATAAAGAAATTCCACCCAAGGAGAGATCGCTGAACACTTAAGGCGCACTTCCCGTAACATGCTACTCCTGTCCACCAAATTAAATGCATTGCGGAAGTCGACCAAAAGCATGGAGAGCGAGTTATCCGCATGATGGACACCAACATACCTATTAACCGCATGCAAAACTGCTTCCGCCCCTCCTGAGACTCCTACTCCAAACTGAAAATCGCCCAAATAACTCGCCATGTCCTTCCCCACCTTCTTCATGGCCACTTTAGAGACGAGGCGCCTCCAAATGGCACCTACCGCAATCGGCCTTATGCCCCCATCACCCTTCAACAACGGAGTGAGAGGAGCACTAGAAATAAACTCCGCCAATGATGCCGGACAACGCCCCTGCAACCACAAATTAACCACTGGAGTGAGAGCCCGTTCGATATCTTCCTCAAACACTGTTTAACATTGATAGCCGTTGGGCAAGCACTGGGGTCGTCTTTCCGGACAGAGGGGGGAGAAGGAAGCTCTCTAAACATGGTGTCAAGGAGTTTATGGGGGCCTCCAACCTCACCCCAGATGGACAATGCATCCAAGATATGCCGTTGCTGAAGAGCCTTTCTGTTTCCTGACCTCGAACTCTTGCGATCATGGGTTTTAATAACCCTTAAAGTACAACATGGCAAGATCAAAAGCCGTACCCAAGCGTCACAAGATTGTGGGTTGGAAGACACCCCGGAGAGCGAGGCTTTGAGGGCAGCCGAGAACGCTAACCTACAAGATGGGGGGACACTTTTAACTGTTCGAAAACCCCAGTTAAACACTCTTTCAACTGTGCCGCTGTCGAGCTTGCAATGTTGTGGACCCAAAGAAGGGATATGTGATATAGACTCGAGGATAGGAGGGGCACTAGGCCGAGGGATATCCACAATGGTGCACCCCACATTTCCCTCGCCATCCTCTGAAGGCGGTGGGACAGACACTCCCCTGTCATGCTTACAATGTTTACTTAGAGCATGAATCCTCAAGCACGTACCACACATCCATTGCCCCATAGCTCGTAGTGTGGCCTCAAATGAGTTGAAAATGGTAATGTCACGGCGTAACAACCCCTTGCATTCCTCGACCTTAGACTCCGAATTGAGATGCTGTTTGCGTAAGTGAACAACCAAATACGCAGGGGTGAGCCCTCTACCCTCAGAACCCCCTGCCGTACATCCATCAAGTCCCTTGAGAGGGCAGCGGACAAACACCTTCTGCGGCGCCAAAGGAGGGGGGCGAGGGAGGGACGAGACTGAGGGGAGAACCACTGAATCTTGGGGGGGAGGCATGCTAATTGTTATGTTATATTGTAATACAGGATGCCCTTTTGGTCACTTGCGACAATGAAGCTTTCCTAACTAGTAGCAATCGAAATGATTAATTGTCGCAATCGGAATGATTAATTTATTCTAATTTATCAGATAACAAATGTAATACAATGTTATTTATTCTAATTTATCTTTCTTAATTAGTAGCAATCGGAATGATTAATTTAAGACAACTCATTAAGAATAAAGGGACCTTGTTGTAATTTTAATTATTTAAGGGACTAATTTTGAAAATCATTAAGAATGGAACCTAATACTAATTTAAAGATTTGAGGGGCTAATTCGAAGTATGAAAGATTAAGGGACTAAGTTTAAAAGGAAAAGAATAATCTATGGTCATTATAATCTCACGAAGGACCGTATATATGGTTTTAACTATTACTAGTATGCTATACGTGCGTTGCACGTGACGCATATTAAAAAACTACAATAGTTTAAATATTTGAAGGCCAAGTTATTTTTCACTCACTAATTTTACAATTATTTATTAAATACATTCTTCACATAAAACATATGATAATTGCACATTGCTTGAAGTTTTAATCAATCATCCACTAAATAAGTTTTCATGTGCAATTATCATATAGAAATTTCAGGCTTCACAATTTTCTCATCATGAACTGATATCATTCGGTAAGCCTATAGATTGTAGAAATTAATTTTATGAGCAAAATTTCATAGGTAGATTGAAATCATCAAATAGTATAATCATCTTAGGACTTCAACAAATTTGGGAGCATTCTTCCATCTTTTAACATTACTTTCATATACAACAAGAAATTTAACTACATTTTGCTACCTCCAATTATAGATGTAATACACTTCAATGCCATGTGTTAGAGACTTTCAGAAACAACACGAATCACATACCAAAAATTGTAAATAGAGATAAAATATAGAGCCTTTGCTAGCATAAGATCCTGGGAAAAATTTCCCAAAACTCGAGTCTTCGCATGCATCCCATAGTGAATTTTTGGTAAAAGTTGATAGGAGGTTTATAGGCTATAGCCATTCATGAATTTGAAAAAGTGGATCGAAGAAAAAAACCCATCATTAGCACCTGCACACCAGAATGTACAGGTTGTAATACAGAAACAATTATCATGTGTCGTCACCTTCATCCTCATCAATGGACACCCATCATATATGGATCTTTAAGATATCGCGTCAATGAAAATGCAATATCAGAGGGTGAAATGCTTGCAAGTGGGATGGTAGGATCTCTGAAAGCAACGCAAGATGCAAAGCATCATAATTATGTTCTAAATTATAACAATGGAACAAACACAACGATCTTGCTCAAGATAATACACATGTAAGCTATTAAAAAAATAGTTATAAAATTGTAAGAGAGGAAAATGCATGGGACCTAGATGTCTAGTTCACCATATAGCACTGTATGCTGGCACGTGGACCATGATAATGGTGCATGTAACATTGTCCAACCTTTCCTACAAAGAAAGATAAATATCGATACATAATTGATTAGCAATCATTTATAGCATATTTCACCCCAATGGAGTTTGGTTAATTCTAAATCTTTTTGTAATTTTGTGAATAATACATGACTGGAATGTGACTGCGGTACAAGAATTATGAAAATGTCTAAACTCACGTAGTAAAAGTTCTCTGTTGAAGTTGAAATTTCAGGTTTCATAATTTTCCCATTAGGACCTGATATCATTCCGTAAGCCTACAGATTGTAGAAAATGATATTATGAGCAAAATTTCATAGGCAAATTGGAATCATCAATTTCAATCTTACGTCTAGTAACTATTCAAATGCTACCAATTTCTAATTCTTCATTCTCATAGGACACATCCAAATATTATCTGACCCACATTTTCTATTTTCTTGAGCATGAGAAATAATTAAAATATTAAACAATAAAGAACTATAAAATATTGAAGTAACTATTGTATACATTTCACTGGCAACGTAATATCTGATCATAACCCGTTAAGAAAAATAGCATTCAACCTGTAAAAAAATCCAATGAAAGCTTCCAAAAATTTCACTGGCAATGTCTTTCATAGTTCATCCATTACGGTTTCTTTTATGTTAGCAATTCAAAAATCTCTAAATGATTAACTTGAATTTTGAAAATTAAATTCATAATACGAGCTGATTGAAAATAAGTAATAGAAGACATTCTACACATGATCAGGAACTTTTGTTTACTAAAGGGAAGTTAGAAGTAAATTTACCTTGATAGATAGGTAGATTCTCTCACCCTTAACCTCCGAGCGCTACATTAAAATTAGAAGGAGAAATAGTAAAAGTATTACCAATAAACAAAACTAATCGCAATGTATTATCCAAAGAACCACATTAAAAATCAGAAATAAGACAAGGAAAAAATTAAAAGAATCAATTCAAAATCTTTTTCTCTTGATCAATTAAAAAAATAAAAAAGCAGATCCAAACCAATTTATCAACAGAATGAAAGAAGGGAAAAAAATGAATTTTTCCCACTTCATCCGGAAATAAATAAATAAATCACAAAAAATTATGTAATTGTCAGAATCTCTCGAATTCCCCTCAATTGCCTTTGCATCAATATTCAAATGCTCGATTCGGGCCTCAATTGTTGGATTATCAATCCCAACCCCAAAAACACCAAAAAATTACCCAATTAATCAAACAAACAGAATAACAAATAACAAACAAACAAAGCTCAATTCAAAATCAAATCTTTACCGCTACATTCGATTTTTGAGCTTTAGCAAGAACCTTTCGTTATCCTCTTTCGCAGTTTGTATCAACCTCTCAAGCAAATTAAAAAAAATATGCATACATACAATTCTAAATTCTAAAAAAACAAAATTTGTGAATGAGATGAACCAGATCATACCTACAGATATGCCTCATTTTATAATGTATTAATTTTAGCAAATTTATTTTGATTCCTAATTAAAAACAATGTCTGTTATAAAAGGAAGAAAAACTCTCAAGTAATATCAAATCAATTAATTCACATATCGAATTCAGATGACAAAGTAAGTCAAATCAAATAAGACTTATTTATCTAAATCCTTCAATTGGTTAAATCTGGTTAATGATTTGAGAACACAACCATACTTGCACATCAACCACATTAATCAACAACCAATAATTTATTTCAAAAAATTAATGACAATCCAAAAATCCAAAAACTATTAAAAAAGTAGAATTAGAAACAAATAAATGATTGCAATCATACCTTCCATCTTAGTATGAAGTAATACTTTATTTGAATTTTGAATGATTTACCTTCTGAAAAATTTTATAGTTGTAATGTTATAATTGCAGATCATTGTATCAAATAATCACCAAGTAGTGAATTTAAATATAGGATTGAAGGAGAAAGTATCTCGATAATCGATAAAGGAGAAAGTACGCAATGAAAATACTACAACATTAGCAATGTTGTTACATCAAATCTCTTTGCAATTTTACTTCCACCACACATTTTCCTACTAACTTGATACTGTCATAATAAAAATGGATTTTCTATAGTATAAATAGCTGCTTGGCTGTCACAATGTATATACATTAAACTCAGAAAGCAAAACCCAATTAATTCATGAAGTTCTTGTATGGATACTAATGCACGTGTCGTACTGGTCATTGCTATGTACTCTAAGTCTACACATATTACATTCTTTCTTACTCTTCCAAAAGAAACAATTGCCTTCAAGAAACATATTATCATGTAGTAGATCTTTTGTTGACTGGCAAAGCTGTCCAATTTGCATCAGAGAACGCTGCAATGCAACCATTATCCTTTTCTTGAAGCGTTACGTGTTTGGAATATATGTACTGTTCTGTTGCACCCCTAATGACTACTTAGGAGCAGGTAAATGCTAGCTCACAATACTTATTAACATCAGAACATACTCCCCAGTTGAGAATGGAAGATTTCTGCCTTTCATACGGCCAGCCTGATATCCAAGAAATACCAAAATTAGCATAGATTTTGGTCTAATAGCCTTGCTGCAAATATGATTTTAAATCATTAATCCCTTGCGCATCATCTCTTTTGATCACAATATCGTCCACATTAAAAGAACGATCTTTCTAGCATGCCAACTAATTAAACTGAATTATTTTTGGTGTGTCGAAAGTCCAAGCTCTTGAACTGTTGTAGCAATCTCCCAAACGAAGCTCTGAGAGATTGCCTTATACCATATAACGACTTGTTTTACAAACTTTCCCTATTTACTGGCATGCCAGACGATTGCTCTGCGTAGACCTCTCAATCAATAAAACCATTTAGGAAGGAGTTCTTGATGTCATGCTGATAGATTGATCAATGGTAGATTTCAGCAAGAGACACAAGCGGTCTTATTGAAGGCATCTTAGCAACAGGGAGAATATCAGCTCCAGAGGGCTCCGTAGAGTAGAAGAATGCTCATGTCTCTCTATGTGTGGATTCCTCATTTTGTTTGATAATTGACACAATATGTCTATGAATATCCTTTTGGCAGCAAGCAAGCCTTCAGCTTAGGTAGCATGCTATCTGGCTTTAATCTCACTGCATAAACACATTGATAACCTATTGCCTTCTTCCTCGGTTGACTATATCCCATGTTTCATTCTGCTTAAGAGCCATAAGTTCTTCCTATGTAGTTTCTCTCCAATCTGGAATAGATAGAGCTCTCGACAAAAACTTGGGAACAGAGGATAAGATACAAAATTGGACAAAGAATAAACTGCACAATGATGTTTACTCTTTCGCAGAGCAGTTCGTTTGCCCTTTCATACAGCAGTATAAATATCCAAGTCAGATTTGACAGACTAAACATCAGATGGAGAAATTTAAATTTATGTAGATTATGAAACAAAAGGAGTATTAGAAGAAGTATTGGAAATACTGGAAGGCTCTGACATATGTTGAATACATCTAGAATACACCTTTGTGGGCTTTTCATGTTTCAAATCAAGTCTATAAGTAGAAGTCTGACGAATCAAAAACTAAAAATAGTCCTGATCTGTTTTTGATGGAAGTGATGCATTATTATAAAGGAATGAGAATCAAAGTGACACTTATAAAAATGATAAGTTTTTCATGCTCAGACAGTAACATCGATTTCCTTTTTTGTGTAAGAATACCCTAAAAAATACTCTTCAGAATTCTAGGGTCAACTGTTGACCTATCTAAAGTATGATTGTATAGAAAACATGAACACCCAAAGATCCTAGAAGTAAAGGAAATAACAATACATTAGGATGTAAAAACATAATAAAATACCTGAACAATAAATGTAGAAGAAGGTATATAGTTTGTAGGATGACCAGCTCCAAAATTCTATAGGAACTTTCGTATGTAGAATAAAGTTCGTTTTTCTAATTTACGCTCTGCAACACCATTTTCCTGAGACATTTTAGAACATGAAGATTAATGAATCATATCATTTTGAGACAAAAAAGATATAAAACAAGAGCTGAAAATATTGTTTGCCATTATCAATATGTAGAACTTGAGCAGAAGAATTGAATTGAATTTTCACTTTTGCATTAAAATTTGAAATATAGAAAATATTTTAAAATGATTTTTTCATCAAATACATCCAATCCTGGGCTCATTGGGAGTTGATACCTTCCATCATCTTCTGGCTTGTTTGTTTCTTCACATGCACATAAACCTTGATGCTCTATATCCTGCAATTTTGATGTCAAAGATTTCAAGTCGTATATATCAGATACCCTATAGGCTCTGCCAAGGTCTGTAAGTATTGATTGCGTGGTACCAAAGTTTATGAGAAAAATGAACTCTAAATCTGATATTAAAGATCTGTTAAGTAATGGGTACAAACTGAGAATGATTACTGATCCAGAGACTTCTCTCAGTAAAAAGTAAGAAGTTGCAAAAAAGAACTTGCCCATTTAGACAAAGCAAAAAAGAACATATAATGCACTACCGAACCAATATAATTAACAGTTTCCATTCTATGATAACAATGGATGACTTTCTACTAAAATGATCTACATATACTATTCACAGATGATCTTCAAACTAAAAGAGCTCCAAAAAACATATAAATTACCAATCATAAGCGCCAAACTAAATTCACTTTACTTACAAGAGTTTCATATACAACAATAATTTATGAGAAGATTGGAAGGGAAGAAGAAGTGACCTCATTGATAGCGAGAACTTGCTCCATCAACTGATCAACTGACAATTGAAAACAAAGTCGTCTTTGCTCCATCAAAAGTGAAGCACTGCGTTATTTATACAACCACAAAAAAAAAACCTAAAATTTCAGTTAAGAAATGTAAAGCCCTAGAAATTAGTACCGTTAATAATAAATGCAAAAACTGAGGGGGTTGAAAAACGAACGAAACTGAGGTAAGAGGAGAAGCAGGA